CCGCCCCTGCGCCGCCCCTGCGCCGCCCCTGCGCCGCCCCTGCGCTGCCCCCGCGCCGCCCCTGCGCCGCCCCTGCGCCGCCCCTGCGCCCCCCCGCGCCGCCCCTTCGCAGCCCCCGGCGCCTTACAGATGCTGCCCGGCCCGGCTAGTACTCGGCTCAGGGGCTTCCCCCCTCCCCCGCGCACCGCATGCGGCTAGGGGAGGCAGATAGGCAGCGGGAACATTTGCGTTTCCGAGACGACTGCATATACACTCTAAAAAAAATATCTACATCATTTACAACAATGTTAAACTGTTAATTGAAATAATAACGGTGCCATACTGTTAAATTTTGTGCTCCCTCCTGATGGTATACAATGAATTTAAACAGTGATGGACTGTATTTCCAATCCGTACACAGTAGGATAGAGCACAAAATTTAACAGTGTGCCACCGTTATTCCAATCAACAGTTTAAAACTGTTGTTAATGCTGTAGATTTTTGTACAGTGTATCGTCGTGTGGCTTCGGACGAACATTTATCATACCGTGGACACTACTACTCTTATTAACAAAAATAAAATGAAACGGGGGTAACCCCCTATACACTGTAAACTGGTCGGCGTCTTTTAACGGCAGAATATTGGCGTCCTGTATGATGTTCTGAGATGGAGAACGGCAATGTTTGGCTTTCTGTGATTGTGTGCTTCATCAAACACAGCTCCAGGTGGTGGGGTGGGGGGTATACTGATATATATCCGTCTGATGTTTAATTCTATCTCTTTTGTCTCCCCCTTGCAGAAACACGGGCCGCGGTACAAGTGCGCGGCGTGCAAAATCGTGGCGCACCAGTCGTGCGTGCCCGTGCTGATCGACCGGCTGCGATTCACCTGCAAGGCGACCTTCCGGGACGTGGGCGTGCGCGCGTACCGCGAGCAGGCCAGCACCGCCGTCACCCACCACTGGGTGCACCGGCGCTCGCAGAAGGGCAAGTGCCGCCAGTGCGGCAAGGTGAGTGAGAGCAACAGGCGGGGGGCCATTCAACTCGCCGGTTTACTCCAAGACTCTAGCTCTAGCCTACTGTTCTTTTTATTTTTGACTACGACATTGCAGACTACAACTAAACTAAAAAAAAGGGTCTGAATGTAGTTCAACTGCAGTGGCAGATTCACACTGTTAAAGACGACAACTTAATCACACTTTTTAAGGTGTGCGTGATTACTGAAGCAAAGTTTATTATGATATAACTAATTCAGACAATGAGAAAGCGCTGAAGAAGCTGAGAGTGTTCTCCTTGGTTATTAAGAGCCGCGAGGCCTACGCTGGACCGCGGCTCTCGGCTAAAGAGCGGAGGACGGCGGAGAATCATATCGGAAAACCCTCAGAAAATTCTCATATCGTTAAAACGCTATCATAGCTTACCAGTCGATCTAAATCCGCTTTCGGAATATCGTTTGCTATTCTCAGTCCCGCGATCTGCGATTCAGCCAGGAGAACCTACGCAGAGGACGCCAAAGGGATGAGAGCACCCAGCAGAAAATCAACGTCGCCGGGACGACGATCCCTTCGTCCTCCTCAATATTTTAAAACTTTTCGACGCAGGCTGGAAAATTTCCGGCAGCGCGCGGCGGGCGGTCTGGAGGGTTTAGGCAGGCGGGCAGCAGGCGGGGGTATGAAACGAATTATGTAGAGATGTTACACTACTTCACAGTAATAGCTGCTGAATAATACGAAGGGGACAGCCGGCGAGTCGGAGGGGAGGGGAGGGGAGGGGGATTATGGAGAATGAGCAGCTTGGAGCGGGCCAATCAGCTCTGGCAGAACGAAAGGGGTTCGCGACGTTCACGACACTGCGCGAGAAAGTGCAAGAAAAAGAAACTTTTGACTTCCTTCTTTAGAAAAGACAAAAACTGATATCTTTGCAAACGTCGGCTGAGTAAAAAAATTTTGCCGTCCGTGCGCACTGTGAAA